ACATAAGTTGTATAATAATACAGTATCTGTCAAATCGACGCAAACATACAGACTGTGTGTTTGGTGTAGAGGGCAGTGCAGTAGAGGTGACTGAAGTGAGTGTATTGAGTGAAAGCCATGTTTAATGTTTGATGCGTTGAGTTCATGAATGCAATAGTGTTCACCAAATGTGAGCGCAATTACAAACACTATTGTATTGATTGGCGATTATTATCACAATTACTAGCATTTTGTTAATTAGTCATTCAATTGATTGGTTTGGTGTTGATTGTGATTGTGATTGTGATCAGTGATAGTATGTGCTAATGATATGACAAATACAATGAGTATTAGTCGGGAAAACGAGTTCAAAGGTTTGTCTCTCTTGTGTCTCTGTTTTGACTGTTTTTTGGACACAAAATGAATGATTGAATTGATTTTGCGGTCAATTTGTGATCAATTGTAACGACAATTAAGACTTAATACAGACTTAAGGTTAAAGTGTTGAACAATGGCTGCAATCAGTGGTGAATGTCATCTCATGTGATGTGACTCTTGTTAACCATTTGTTAGATTTGTTTTGATTTGAATTAGCGTTCAATTGATTTGTATCTCAAATCGAGAGTTTGTTTTGACTTTTATTTCCCTTTTGATGACTTCTTGAGATAAACTTAAGGTTTGTTTGATGACCACAACGACTGCAACAATGTCTGCATTGCCATCGATGTCTGCATTGCCATCGTGTGAATGGCGTGAATCCATATTAAGACAACTGATCGCTCGGAAAGCGACGGAACAGAAGCCGTTTGAATCAGTGATTGATTTCTGTAACCATTTGTTTGAGAGATTAGATTCAATCAGAAATGAAAACCTTTTGCTTCGCAATGAGAGAGAGAAACACGTGTTAGAGACCAAAGAACTCAAGACTTTGTGCACCAATTCAGACACCAATGCAAACAACAACTCAAACGGAAAAGTATTGGAGAAGAAGTTGTTTGAATTGCAGACAGAGTTGACTGAATTGCACAGAACTAAGGGACACAACTCGCAGACCATCATTGACCTCAAGAACACCATTGACGCCAAAGACAAAGAACTCCAACAACTGGTCCTCAAGTTGGAGGAGACTCAGCAACTGCTCGGCGACTCGAGAGGTGTTTGCAGTGCTTTAGAGCAGAGGATACAAGAGATGGAGACGACTGACCAACTGGTGCGCGACGAGCACCAGGCGCTCCAAATGGCCTTCTCTTGTCTCGAGAAGAAGTACTCGACGTTAGATCGCGAACACATCGAACTCGTCAACCGATGGATGTCTTTGAAGGCAAAAGACGCCCAGAAGTTGAACGATGAGAACGAGAAGGCGTTGAGAGTGCAGAACGAGAAGCTCAGGCTTCAGTTGGAAGAGGCGGCCAATGAGGCCACTGCTGTGACACTCAATCCCTCCAACCCTCTCGACATACCCCCAGACAGTCATTCCAATTGCGATCCCCTGTATGTCTGCACTCGTATCCCGACTCGAGTTATGCTTCAGTTTGAGGCACACGAGGGTGAGGTGAATGCCATCAAATGGAGTCCCAATGGGGAAGTGGTGGCCACCGGTGGTGCCGACCGTAAGATTAAGATGTGGGCTATCAGTGAGAACTCGAGCGTTGCTATACTGAAGGGCACACTAACGGGTAGTAACGCTGCGGTCACATCGATAGACTTGGATCAGGACCTACTGCTGGCCTCGTCTAATGACTTCGCGAGTCGTGTCTGGACTCTGAGTGATATGAAGCTTCGGCGCACTCTGACGGGTCACTCAAACAAAGTACTGGCCGTCAAGTTCTTGGGCTCTAATAAGGTGGTGTCGGGCAGTCATGACCGCACACTCAAGATATGGGACCTCAACCGTCACGCCTGTATTCGAACCCTATTTGCCGGCTCTTCGTGTAATGATTTAGTGACCATCGAGTCCAAGGAGGCGGTCGTCGCTTCCGCTCACTTCGACAAACGAATCCGCTTTTGGGACACGAGGTGTGACTCGAGTGCCAATGAGATCCTATTGCAGGGAAAGGTGACCGCACTAGACGTCTCTCCCGATGGCTGTTATTTGTTAAGTTGTGTTCGCGACGATTCCCTCAAATGCTTAGATCTCAGACAGAATCAGGTGATCAGGACTTTCTGTGCCGACGGCTTCAAAGTGGGCTGTGATTGGAGTCGTTGTAAGTTTAGTCCCGACAGTCAGTATATTGTGGCCGGAAGTCAGGACTCGTCTGTTTTCATATGGAATGCTTCGAACGGAAAGCTCGAGCAGAACCTCAAAGACCAACACAGCTCTACAGTAATCGCTTGTTGTTGGAGTCCTAACGGGTCTCTCCTCATGAGTACCGATAGGAATAAGAAGGCCATTGTCTGGTCTGAGTTCTAGTCATTCATGTGTGACATTCAACTCTATTGACTGATTGACTCTATTTTTATACTTATGTATAATCGTTGAAATTGTGTTAAGTGTTGATAATTTGATCACTTATTGAATTTTTATTAAAATTGTTTATTTTATAATAACTCATGAATTCTTATTTCAAATGATTTTTGTGTTCATCTAATTATGTTGACTCTGCGCTCATTTTAATGTGTTTTAATTGAATGCTTTAAACAATTGATTAGTAGGAATGGGACGAAATGAAGAGAGGAATGTCTTGGACCAGCTGTTGGGCACTCCTGAGGACGACGACTTGGATGTAGAGTTGGGTCGCTCTGAGAAAAAGTCCAGAAGTAAGACATAATGATCTTATTATTTATAAATCACTTATGTTTGAGGAATGTCTTGGACCAGCTGTTGGGCACTCCTGAGGACGACGACTTGGATGTAGAGTTGGGTCGCTCTGAGAAAAAGTCCAGAAGTAAGACATAATGATCTTATTATTTATAAATCACTTATGTTGAGGTTTTTTGGGTTCATAGACTTGTTCTCTAAATGAATATTAATTTTGTTAATATTTAACACAACAGGCAAACGAACGTCAAGTGTTGTTAAAGCCGTCAATTCAAAAGAATGTCCAAAACTAAACTCGTCGGTCACTCTTAAACAAGAGGTATATCAATATATATGCTAAATGAGACTGAGACAGGTCTATTTTATCACTCATTTTTCTCAAAGAAGAATAAAGTGGTTTCAAATTCTAAGAACGATTTTCACACCAAATATCAAAATGAAGACATCAGAAGGGATTCCTTATCAGAAGGTTTGTGTTTCTAATATATATTGTGATGTTTTCTCAATTGCTATCATTTTCTTTTAGCCCCGAAGAAGTCAATGAAATCAGTTGCCAACGAATTGGTCAAAGAGACTAAAAGTCCCAAAAAAATATCTGTAATTATAAATCGACTCATATTGTCGTTAATATATTACCGTAAGATTATTGATTATTTTCATTAAATGCATCCAATGATAGCCAAACAAAGGGGTGCCTAAGTCTGGCGGTGAGCCGATGGTTGAATTTGCCGCTAAAAGCAATTCTAACAATTCTGGTGATGAGTACAGCTCTTCGCACGACTCTTCGTGTTCGTGTGAAGATCACAGCAGTATTGTCTCAAATGGCAACCAATCCTCGCACTCATCCTCTCGTTCAATGAGTCGTAAGCTATAGTCAAATGAAATGATAGTATTTCTCATTTCAAACGACATCTCTTTTGTAGCCAAAAACAAGTCGAGTGGACACCGAAGAACTCGATCTGTAAGTCCTTCTAATAGAGAGCCAAAGAAGAGATTGCGTTGTGAACCGGACGAGAGACGTATGTATTGTTTGTTACCAAACTCTTGAACAAAAGTTATCAATATTGTGGACAACAGGCAAATCAAAACGACGGCGCCGTTCGAGTCATAGTCAGAGCGTTAGTAGACGTGATCCGAACTCTCTGTTGCGATATTTCTTCAAAGACAGCTGTTTTTTCGTTATGAAAAGCAATAATCACGAGAACGTTGTCTTATCCAAAGCCAAAGGCGTCTGGTCTACACCTCCTCAGAATGAGACCAAACTGAACCGGGCTTTCAAGGAGTTCCGTAATGTTATCCTTATATTCTCTGTCAAAGAAAGCGGCAAATTTCAAGGCTTTGCAAGACTTGCATCAGAATCACGACATGACTCGCAACCAATTCAGTGGGTATTACCTCATGGTCTGAATGCTCGAGCACTGGGAGGTGTCTTTTATCTCGACTGGATTTGCCGACGAGAACTCTCTTTTACCAAAACTCTTCATCTCTTTAATCCATTCAATGACGGCAAACCTGTGAAGATTGCACGGGACGGACAGGTATGAATGCATACATTATGTGCGATTGAGAGGTGTCTTCAATGCGTGGATTGTATTGACAGGAAATCGATCCCCGAGTGGGAGAAGAATTGTGTCGTTTGTTCCCTTCGGACGAAACGGTAGAATTGATTCCTATGTTGAAGCGAATGAAGAAACAGACCGCTCACAGACCCAGAACTCATCGAATTCGCGGACCATTTATGGACTTCAATGAAAGGAATAAACCAAACATTAGCTCAAGAATTGATTTCCGTAACAGAGAAAGAGCTAATCCGCCACCAAATCACTCGTTCCCTTCATCTCAACTCAATTTTCAGTCAATCAAGTAATTGAATGATTTGTTTGTCTTGTTTTCAAATCAATTAATTGTTGTTATATTAGAAGAAAACGATTGGGACCGCCATTGCCTCCGACGGGACCACTGCCTCGCAGAGACATCAGAGATGGTAACCATTCAACTCTTTACTTAATTGTCAATATGTTTAATGAAATGCTTTCTAAAGGGCGTAACGAACGCATTATTCCACGACCGATGCCGCGCCGGGAGTTTATGGTCAACGGAAACATTTCCAACTTTCATCGAAATATGGCGCCTCCTATGCCACCTTTTACTCAAGTAAGCGACCACTCATTTGCCTCAACTTACAGTATATGGGCTTTAGTTAATTAAATGATTGTCTATCACTTCAGCGCCCATTCATTGAGCCCCCATTCCAACAGAGACTGGAATTGCCTCCAAAGCCCAGGCCTATGGATAAGCGAATTGTAAGTCTATTTAGTTGTTACAGTATTACAAATAGTAGTGTCCAAGTGGAACTGTAGTATTCAAGTATATACTGTATATTATATACGTTTAACTAATATTGTCGACCACTTTACAGTACGACCGAAATGTGGATGAGTTTATTCGTCGCACATACAGACCTCCTCAGAGGGACAGACGTTATCGAGAGGTTCGCTACTGATTAGTGGATAAATGGCTTATTTATATTATTACATGAAATCAAAGTCTAATTGCATTGAAATGGAAGTGAATTTATTTACCGATAACATAGAAAACTGTTTCAATACTGATGTTTAATTCGTTTCTCTTTAATTTGATTTTTCTCAATAATAATTACACTATTAATGGAAACAATTTATTTAATTAATTGTAAAATATTTGAAATAAAAATCTAAATAACATATTCAATCTAAAGTAAAACAATTATTTAGATAAACATCAATAAAAGTAAATATATATTCATATGATTTATATATTATATATATAATTGAATTGAAAATATGAAATAATATTAAATCCAAATACAAGTGCTTTCAATGTCTTTACAATATGCAGACTGTAGTGAAAAATTAGAAAAATGGTTAGAAATCATGACAAATAGAAGTAAATTTAATTCCTGGTATATATGTATACAAAGGTTTTGGGAGTAAATCAAAGGCCCGACACCTCAAACATAGTTATATATAGTTAGCGAAAGGCACACAACTGTTGCAAAAGTATTTCAAGTCATTCTCACCGGGAATTCAGTTTTGGATCAATTCTGGTCAATACATAGAAAAGCAATAATAGTTTAATAAAATTATATTAATTATTAAACATTTAAAAACATTAAAAAACATTAAAATAGACAAATTGTTGCGCTATTTGTGGGTCATATCTAACAGCGATAGATCACTAATGACTAAAAATTGGTGCAAAATTATATGAATAATAATTATTATTATAAGACTAGTAGTTATTGAATCATTTCGCGTGATCAATACGTGTTCATCAAAATATATTTGCATTTTGCCTTCATTTAAGTGAATATAGACTACATCTCACACACCATTCATACAAATAGCGAATACCTTTAATAACTCTTTACTTAATATCACAATTGAAACTTTATTACACCTAATCTCACTGTTATTATTGGGCTTCACTTCTCTCCCTCTTCCCCTCCCCTCTGGTCTGGTATTTGGTATTAATATACTATAATATATCGTATAATCGTATTGAACACAACCGTAAATCGTAAACAATATCAAATGCAATCAATGGGTCAATTGCATGATTTCGCACACAGACTGCTTGTATTGTATTAGTGTATTGTATTGTATTGTAATTGTAGTGAATTATAACAAATGAGTCGTTCGCCAACCCGAGAGGACACACATTAACTCGCTTTAAACGATGGCTTCATATCTATTAGTGAATGTGTGAACGGCTCGAAACCAGTGATCAGTTGTTGTAGACCTCGACTCTGAACTGATTCAATACATCTGATGGCATGTCATAGAAGACGGAACCCATAGAAAATGATTTGCGAATTAGAATCAAATCGTGAAGAGTGAGGTTGGACTCAAACTCGTGCGGATGGGCCCATACAGTCAGAGTGCTGTTCGGCACCTATAGGCGGGTCAGTCACACGTTTAGTGAAAACAGCAGTGAATGAGTGGTTGAATACAGACCTGAAAGAGGAGTCTCTGGAGTTCGCAAATGGAGTACTTGAGAAGCGATGCGTTGACCGCGAAAGTCAACGGTTGCGACAAATTGTATTCCTTGACCAGAGAGGCCATGTGGTCCACCATATCCCGCGTATAACCAGTCTTTATGGACATCTCATCCACAAGTGTTGTCCAACCGATCGAAATGATTGCTTTTGGGAATCGGGTTTTGCAGAGAATCAGAAAAGTCCAGATATCCACGGGACTGGCGGTCGGCTTATTGGGACCTGTCATCAAGTTTACAGTTATATATAGCCATCACATGTTAGCTCAAAAAACCTGGTAATATGTCTGCATTCAACACGAGGGGTCCCTTAATATAATCGACATGTCTGGCCAACACTCGGAAAGCCGGCTCAACCACTCGAGTCGACTTGAAGTCCAATTTGATACCTTTGCCAGAGTTAGAGCGAACCACATCTACCAACCAGTCCTCCAAAGTCATGTCACTGACATTGAGGGGCGGGTGAGCCATAATGGGCACCGGGTATCGAGTGGTCTCCGCGAGACTCACATCCGCCTCAATCATCAGTTCCTCTCCTATGCAATGAAAGAGTGGAATGGAGTGATGGAGTGGAGGGATGGGAGTTAGTGGTGATAATGGGTGACAATGGGTGACAAACCTCTGAGAGCGTGTGTGAGTTTGGCGCGCGAGTTGGCCGCGTGGGCCCAACTGAGCCGCAGTCCATCGCCGTTGACGGGAAAGTAGTCGACTAAGTTGGAGGAGGGGATGGCGGGGCGACTGTGGAAGCCATTGGTGGGCTGGTGTGTCGGCGCTGACGGGAACAACGTTCTGCCGATACAGGGCTGGCTTATAGTCGCTGAGCACTGGAAGCCAATCATTGGAGAAAACAGGGAAACGATACGAATGTAGAGAAATGGGACACAATTGGAGTAATGGTATGCTATGTGTGAATGAGTGGAGTGTTGTGCAAGTGTTGGCGAGCAACAAGTTCACTGTCTCTCAGCCTAACTCTCCCTCACATTATATAAAGTGAAGGCAAACATAAAGTCCTAATTTCGGAGTTATTTTATACGAGACCTGTTTTGCAGGTTTCTATCAAAACACAAATACAACTCGATTTCAAAAATAAGTCTTTGCTTTCCAGGAGCTTTGCATTGCGTTTCATTTGATCGCAAACTTCAGTTCATTACCACTCTATGAGGCAATCAATGTATCACTCCATCAATGCTATGAATACTATGAATGAAGGTTAGGCTTAGGCTTACAGTAATACAGTGCCAGCACTTGGCTTAGGCCTCACCACTGGACTCACGAGGACTGCACCACTCATGAGATACTTATTTATAGATCTCTTATTATAGATATCCTCATAAATATATACACTATACCGGTATATATGTGTGTATATATATATATCAAATGATACACTCTTTCTAAACATATTACTCTCAAAAAACAAACTATTTTTAGTCATAATTTCAATATTAGTTTCAATTTTGGTTTATTATATCAAATAATTTCTTATAATTAATATGTTTTGCTAACAAATGGTCTGTAGTTATGGCTAATGAGGAGATGTCTTGGCAATCAATACAATACTCAATGGTATGATAGGCTGACTCGTGAGGAATGGTATAGAAAGTGTGAAATGGATGGACACTTACCTGACTATATTTCATCGACTAATATATATGTCAATCACAGACTATT